CCAATTCCGACTGGTTCCTAAAATCGAGTACTGATGCATGAAAACTTAGAAATTCAATCAATTGTAATATTTTTTAATAGTTTATCATCATTTATTTATACATAATAACTTGTCTTTATCATTATCTAAAGAATAAATTTAACCATGTGTTACATTTACCAAAGTTATATGGTACATGTATTTTAAACCTTAATTAAGAAATTTTTGCATTATAAACCAGAGAGCAGCTATGTCTGTATCTTCACCATATTCACAACAAAGATAGTAGCTATTTCATAGCACTTAAAATATACAATTATGGACTTTCAAATGGTAGAAGGTGCTGCCTCAAAAAAGATCCCTCCCTGCTGAATGGTCATGAGTTCCGATCATAGGACAAAATTTGCAGCTCTCGATCTAAACAACATACGTACACAGTGTTTTCCAAAATTGACTGCTTCAACTGACAAAAATGCCGCTTTGAAATGAAAATTTGTTGTATAGGTCCACAGAGATTCTGCTTATAAACCTCAGCCCCTAGATTGTTACAACTGATCTCTAACCCTTTACTTTGAAATAAAGGGAAAACACTGCATTCAAACACTTTCTCCTATCCTCAAAAAACTGGATGAGGTAAAAATGTATGGAAAATATTAAAGCTCTAAACTTATATACATGTGCATTCATAAGACTCTTCTACTTATAAGGTCTCCATTATTTTCTTTAGCTCAGTTATCAAAGTAAAAGTTAATGACAGATAAAAAAGAAAGACATGTCACATATTGTTCAGATATAGCCTAAAACAGTATGCCTATTGATCATGTTCTTTAAAAAATATATGATATTTCTTTTCTCAGATTTCTACCATTATTGTCAACTTGTATACATTTAATGTCAAATCAATTTTAAATTGCACAAAAAAACCTGAAATGCTATTCTTTATATAAAGGAAAAAAAATATGAAATGCATATATTTAGATATAAATATCTTGTCTGACTTTATAAATTTGAAGCAACTTACTGGTACACGTACACCAAATTGACCGAAAGGGTCAAATCCATCCATCATTCCATAAATGGAATATACTGTCATCTGAAATTAAGAAAATATAATAAGTCATGAGAAATTTAAACTCTTAAAATAACTCAAGTCTCACTGTCTGGATTTTTGGCTGCCTACTAATAGCTTGACCTTTTCAGAGGTTGTGAAAATATTTCCATTTCTATTTGTTTTCTCTGTGATAACTCTTTGACAATTTAGTACAGTTGATTTCTTGATCATTATACCGGAATGTAAATTTTAACAAGAAATAGTTCAGGAGCCTAGGAGGCCTAATATCTGAGAACTAAAATGCTAAAAAAAGCAACCAGTAAGTATGAAATAAATATTAAATGAATGAGAAATTCTTATTATGAATTTATAGACTGAGGGATAAGGGTAATTGGAAAAAAAGTAATTGTAACTAATTCCTTAATAAATTGAACAGTTTTTGTAAACTTTTAATACTTGTAATGCACATAATAATTTTTGTTGGTTTTATTTCTGATTTGATTGTCCATATTCTCACCCTAATAGTTTATATATATTTTAATTTATTTCACCTCTCCCCAATCTAACAACTATGGTACAGTTTTATATCAATTACTTTCAAGTAACTATCTCACCTGGTCAAATTCCCGTTTTGCACACATTTTTTCTATGTCTGAAATTCAAATGTGTGCAAAAGGAAAACAAACCCTTTTTAGCTAGAATTATTACTGCCCTAAAAAAAATACAGCTGTAAATTGCACCCAAAACAAATCAGCCCTAATACAAAGAGACATTCACTTTATCACTGTCGTGATCCCGTGCCGGATTGGACAAAACAAGATGGCGGCGGGAACAAATCGAAAAAGGTAGGTACCTGAGATTTCGGTAAATATCCCCCGTTAACAGTCAGGTATGCTTGATTCGAAGATACTGTCGAATTGCTAGTAAAATGCTTATTAGTGTGCTTAATTGCTACTTTTCCTATCGTCTCTTAAACTTGAACATTTAACGACTGAAGACTGCAGAATTTCTCCGATTGAGTTTGAAGCGGCATGGGGTTGTTTTTTTCTTCGATTTTGACAGTTTTATGCATCCAGCAGCAGGAGTGTGGCTAACAAATGATAATTTGGAGTAATGCTGACCCGTTGTTATATGTTTATTTGTTATAACCCATTCTATTACAAAGATATTTCGATTTAAAAATGTTGACACGTGCTGGATTGGAATCGGTTAATTTTAATAGAAATTGTGCCGGATTAGACTGCATTTTTGGTGCCGGATTGGATGATGTTCATTATAGTCATTTATGTAATACCTTTTTTCTCTTTTATTTTTCAAGCTATGGATGCATAGTTCAATGAAATACCAGGAGGAATTTAATAAAGCTTATCTACGCATCTGCACTCAGGAGTTTTGTAGAGATGACACCTGACAAGCACATAAGAATTGACCATGAAGCAGCAGAGAGGTATCGATGCATTATCTAAGGCAGCTGCTACAGGCGGAAGTACAACCTACGACGGTACATGTACATTGTACATCAAGAACAGGCATTGAGAAATTCAGAAAGTCCGAGGAACAGACACTTACCAAAATATTTTTAGGATCTTAGATAGACCGTGCAAATGTATATCTGTGAAAATTTCAAATTCAAAACAATTGTACTGATTTCTCTCATTCATATTGTTTCAAAGATTTTTAAGGTCTTCCGTTTCCAACGGAAGACCTTCTACTGATTCTGAAGATTAAGATTATTCTTATTATTCTTTTTTTTTTTTTCTTCCTAGACGCCACCTTTGAGGCCTCGTATCTAGCTCATTTTTTAATGGATTTTGTTCAAATTTTCAGACATTATAGACGGTAATAAACTCTATCAGAATGCTGTCAATAATTTCAAAGAGTCACTTCCGGTTTTGAGTTATTTCCCTTTAAACGAAAAATTATAGGCTTTCATTTCCAGACAAAGGCTCAGAAACCACTAGAGCTGGAGCAGAAATTTTACTGGTTTTAGATAACAGAAGGATTGAAGTTGTGCACATCGGTTTTTGTTTTTCAATTTCTCTATTCAAAATGGCGCAATACAGGGGTCAAAAAATAGAACGCCTAAAAGAGCGAAAATTTACACATGTTTTCCTTTTTATCTTGAAAACTAAAAATATTTTGTTAAGACATATTGAACAAAAGTTGTGCATAATTGCAAGGGCCTTCGTTTAATACTATAGAAAAGGGGCTGGCCCCTAAAATAAGGGATCTCTGGAGCTTGAAAGTTTTTGCTTTATAACTCAAAAACGGTAAATATTTCGATCTAGATATATCGAGCAAAATTGTTCTTTAACACCCTTTTGATCTGATAGGAATGTTTATTTGTTCGAATATACCGGGGTTATTGCATAATATGCAGTCAAAAGCAGGTCAGGTAAACATGTAGCGTTTTCATTCGGCAAGTAAATCTGACCTCATCATGTGTACAACTTGCAGTAAATAATATACCCTACGGTATTTTATGTTGATTTTCTTCAAAATAAGGTTTTAAACGTGTTTTATGATTAACTATTAAATCATGTATTACAACCACTTTTTCTATTTTTCTTTATAAAATTTAAAATTTTAGTTTTATAGTGAACACGTCTTTAAAAGCGGAAGATATAAAATCTACCTTTCTACGTTTATCATTGTAACAAACTATATAATTAATCTTAAACTTTATACATTGAATAATTCACGATCATTAGTTGTATACATATTACGATCCCATTGTTCAGCGAGATGTTTTACAGTTATATAATCAAAGCCGCAAATCCCACGCTGTCGATGTAGGTCACGAGTGTACCAGGCACCTGTGGACATAAACAAAGCAAGTGTTTCTGATTGTATTAGACCATTGTGTAGAAAGACTTAACAATTAATAGAAAACTGTGTTTTTAATTACATCGCGATTCAATAAGATTATTTTACCCATCTTTCATATTTAATCGTAATTCCCAACACTGGTGCATAAAATCATTTTGAACTGTGTTCGCTTTCTTTGGCCTGTTCTCGCAAAATAAAAAAAAAACTCTATTCTGTGTTAATGTATTTTATTTCAATTGTAATTGAGAAGGGGCCTCGGCAAATAATTATAATTAGTGATGGATAGTGATAGGTAATATTGTATATGTACGTTTTATTTTCACCATGATCACTCTTTTGTTTCTCCATTTATCGGGGTATCATTTTTTTAAAGATTAAATAAACATTGAACATAAAACGTAATTTATAATATACTATTGTTCACGTATTTGTAATACCGGTATAGCAAACAGGTTATATCCAACTTTGTCTCTAAAGTTGTGTTGCCCGGTCCTCGTTTACAAGCACGTGGTTGCAGAGAACAGTGGGCATATATGAAAATCCATTGTGTACTCCGATAGTTACAAATGGAAAATTGGGTTTAAAATATGTCGTTTCTTTCATATCATTTCATTTCACTCTATTTCAGCTTGTTTAAATCAATCGTAATCGCTTGTACATTTATTCATTGTAAGTTTTATGTATTTTGATAGCCGAATAAACACTAGCCCCCCCCCCCTGTTTTTATCGAGGTGGATATTGTTTTATGAATATTAAACTTACATGTACGCATGCATGGTAGTTGTAAGTGGAGGTGACGTTTCTAATTCACAGGAAAACATCCAACGTTAAATTAAGCACTTTTGAATATGCAGTTATTTGCTACTGAACTATAAAATGTTATTGTACAAAAATAATATACTTTTTCGTTGAATAAACAGAATATCTCAACATTGCACGATTTGACATGCTTGTACATGTTCAGTCGATGTCAGTATAAATACACATGGATGCACTTTTGCCTAGAATAACAGCCAAAATATATACATCCAGAGTTTAAGAATACGATTTTTAAAAAAATTGAAAATTCGTTAATGCTATTTATCATTAACCAGTATCTCGACGATAAAACATCAATTTTAATTCTTTACCAAACGTCCTCCCGGTCAGTCATTGTTACTGTTGGTGACATGAAATGTAGATACTAGGGTCTCAGTAAATAATTTCACCTTAATTATCCTCATCGTCATTCGGTGTTTTCATCATTAGAAATAAATTGTTTGAGGACGTCTTTTTTTCTCTTCTCACATTGGTAACGCGTAGGAAAAAGTTTTTAAACAAAGCTAACGGCATTTTACAAAAAAAAAAAGGAAAACGAGAAGAAAAAAACGTGTCTATTTAGATTAAAAACACAACGCATCAATTTGTATTTGATTAATCCACATACGTTTTTTCCTTCTTCCATGCATTTCGACTATACGAAAAAAAAAGGATCAGCAAATCCTTTGGTAATATTAAAAGAAAGGTGTTGTACCTTCAAAAGACACTATATCCTACAGGCCTTTAGATCGCTTAAAAAATTGTGTGTATTTTCTCAATTTTTTTTCTAAGCGATCTAAAAGCCAGTGCTATATCCGAACAGTTATTACAGAGACTACCAAATATATCACAGCGTCCCTGAAAGAATTATTTTCAAATATTTCAATAAATTCTAATTTAGTTCAAAGAAAGCCACGCTGTTGTTTACAAACATTCCAAAAATAATCTTTCATGTTTCATGGACCGACACGTGGTTAAATTACCTCTCATCACTATAAGTACCCCCCCCTTTAACATGTTTAAAATGAATATACAATGTCTTCCTTCTGAGCCGAGAATGTTAGTTGGTTGATTTGTTTTTGTACATGCGTATATACATGTAGATTAAGGCTGGTGTTGAATTCCGAAAGAAAGTCACAACCTATTTTTTTTATGTAAACCAATAATCATTCTATGCCCCGCCATGAATATGGCTTGGGATATAATGTTTGTCATGTCGGACGTCTTCCATCCTGCCTTATCTCCTTCCGTCACACTTTGCCTTTAGCTAAGTTCAAAGCTCAGTTTCAAACAAACTAACCAAGATATTTTTTAAAAATAATCAAACTTCATACACAGTATAGCTGCAGAAAAAAAAAAAACAGACAGGAGAGTTATACTGAGCCACCCACTGAAAAAACTGGTCCTACTAAACA